CTACTTGGGCATCCAGCCAGCTTTGCCCAGAGCGGAACACAGGAACTGCGCCAAATAGATGGAAGCCGCTCGAGTGAGGTGGTGGGAATCTCTGTGGCCCATCACACGAGTTCCCGGAATCATCGCACCACAGGTGACGTTGTCGCAGAGAAGCTCATGGATGTCAAAAAACATTGTGCCATCGAGCTCACTTGCTAAACGGGTGTAGGCATCCTTCAGAGGCTTGTGTGCTAGCTCGGACGCTGCCACGTTGACATCGCACATTCTACACGGCATGCTACCATGCTGCCCAGGGGAGCACTTCAACAAGTAGTTCTCTGTGTCAGGACACCCTATATGCGGCGGAGATCCCACTAACACCAAGTTCGCACCTTGCGAATGTACAACATTGTAAAACTCCCCGATCCTGGTCACCATCACCTCTAACGATGCATTATTGCTGAACTTTCCGGCCACAAATGAATCATAATTGCTCAAGATGACGATATCGCCAGGACGCAGCAAGTGGCGAAGGGATTTCGTCACAACCTCATCGTAGTTGTCGCATGTGTCCTTGAATATTGACTGATGGCTCCTCAGGCCGCAAAACCCAGAACACCAGGAGCCAGAAACGCAGAGGAAACGGACGGACAGGTTGCCACCGAATCTCTTCCGAAGCCCAACGAGCAACATACGCGCATGAGAATCTCCGAATACGAACATTGCGCTCTTGTTGCCGTTCACTCCGCGGTCTGGCTCCAAGCACGTTTGGGCTTCCCGTTCGAGCTCACGGCGCTCTGGAGGCTTCAGGAAAGTGCACTCTAAAGCACCAGTGGCATCCAGGATGCTCCCCTCCCAGCCAAGAGCGCCAGGCACGACATTCTCCAAGCATGCCGGTGTCGTGGAGGAGGGGGGGGGAGGGGCAATCTCCCTCGCGCACGGTGCCCGGTGGAACGCTGGTATGCTCTCTATGCACTGGCACGCCTCTCTGATCGGGCACGCCTGATAATGAAGACTCTTTAGTACGTGTTTGTCCGTAGTGATGGCTTCGCGAGTGCGTGAGTCGTCGAACATCTTGCTCAGAGACGCGCAACACCCTGCAAGCGTGACCGCAATGCATAAACTTGCAAACACGCCGGCAGGATTCTGCGGTGGCCAACTACATGTATCTCTTTCGCGGCAGGTGACCGCCTCCTCCTGGGCATCGGTCTGCGTCGCGACCTCCCCGACAAATAGACAACTTTCTTCTATGCAAGGACTCATGGAAGCGCAGTGGTACAATCAACATGGACTGCTGCGGCTCATCCTTCGGAGTGGTACCCTGTGCCCTTGAGCCAAGAATGGCTACGGGTTGCAATTCGCTCACAGGTGAGGCCCCGCCAGAGACATCCTCACGATTTGCCCCCTTGGGGTGCTCGAGGGGTATGCCTGGCAGAGCTTGCCGATGACGCGCTCAGATTACCAAAATGAAATGCGGGCCCCATAGGCAAGGGAACGGGCCCCCGCTCGGCGGATGACGCGCCCGGATTGCTCACAGAAAGTACGGGCCACATAGGAGAGGGGGGGAGGCCTCCCGCTCGCGACTGCTGCGCAGTTCACTCACAATCGAGGCCCCCGCTCGAGACTTCCCCACGAGTTGCCCTCTCCGGCCGCTCACATGCGAGGCCCGGTGCACTACCTCGACGACCCGCTCGGCTTCATTGCGCGATGGGCGGGCTCCGTACGGAGAGGGCTGCCGCTCGAGATCCCGCCGCGTTTCGCTCGCGGACGAGGCCCTCGCTCGAGACATCCTCGACGACCTGTCCCGCCCGGTAGAATTTGCCGATGGCACGCTCGAAATAGCAGCACGAAGTGCGGATCACATGAGGAAGGCGCTCCCGCACGCGACCTCTGCACACTTCACTCGCTGACGAGGCCCCCGGTCGATGCATCCTCATGATTTGCCCCCTTGGGGCGCTCAAGTGCTACGCCTGGCAGAATCTTCGGAGGACCCGCTCGGACCAATAACCTGAAAAGCGGACCCCCTAGGGGAGGGCTCCGCTCGAGATTCTGCGCACTTCACTCACAGACGAGGCCCCCGCTCGAGACATCCCCACGATTCGCCCCCCGGGGCACTCATGTGCTCCGCCTCGTAGAGTTTGCAGACGGCCCGCCCAGGTGACCAACAAGAAGTGTGGGCACCAGAAGGAGAGGGGGTCCAGCTCGAGACCTTGTCGCCACTCACTCACCAGACGAGGCCCCCGCTTTGACTGGATGCCCCGATCGGATTGATAACACGAGGTGGGTGCCCACTACGGAGGAGCTAGTGGTGATGATGATGATGATGATGGTGGTGATGATGATCAGGATGGTGATGGTGATGGTGATGATGAAATTGATGATGATGATGATGATGATGATGATGATGATGATGATGATGGAGAAGGAGGAGGAGGGTATGAGAAGAAGGAGGGAAGGAAGAAAATATAGAGGAGTGTGTCAGTGTGTGTGTGGTAATTCGTGATGATGGTGGTGAAGATGATTATGCAGGTGATGGCGATAATGATGGTGATGGTGATGATCATGACGATGATGATAATTGTGATGATGATGGTGATGGTGGTGATGATGATGACGATGCTGCTGATGATGATGATGATGATGTCGATGATGATGCTGTTGATGATGATGATGACGGCGCTTATTGCGATGGTGACGACGATGCTGCTGATGCTGCGGATGATGACGATGCTGATGCTGATGTTGATGCTGATGATGATGATGCTTGTGATGAGGATGATGATGCTGATGAGGATGAGGATGATGATAATGATGATAATGATGATGATGATGATGATGATGATGAGGATGAGGATGATGATGATGATGATGATGATGATGATGATGATGATGATGGTGATGGTGATGGTGATGATGATGATGGTGATGGTGATGGTGATGATGATGCTATTGTCCTGCGTGGGGCGTCCAGAGGAAACAATAGCCTCATTTAGGATGTGGGGACAATCCGTCCCTGGAGGTTATCTTGGAGATTCGCTTGAAGCCTTGTCGGTCCGCATTAGGAGTGCCATCTTTCGGGGATGGACAGACCCCCCTTGAGTAAAGCGTGGTTTAGTGAAAACGACCTGAGGCCCAAACCTGGCGGGCGCAAGCCTGGAAAATAAGGGCCACGGCGCCCTCTCGAGAACCGAAAACGGACAATTCACTAATCGACGTGTCACTGTTGGGGGTTCTGTCTACCCCCGAATCTTGAAGCTTTTGTGGGTCGTGCCAGAGTCTCTCGGACGTCCGCAGAGGATCCCAGGAGGGCTAATGAATATGGCCGTCTTGGGGGTATCTGCGGTCGGCTTGGAAGCCCTGCTAGGCTGCCTTGGGCCTCACGGAGCCCTGAGCCCTCTGGGGCCGTCCTGGGCTGCTGCGGGTCCAGAGGGCGTCCGGAAGCCGTCTGGGCCACCTGGCCCCCCAATGCGGTGCCGCTGTCGCGTCGCGGTTCTCCTCCTCCCTCCTCCCTCCTCCTCCTCCTCCTCCTCCTCCTCCTCCTCCTTCTCCTTCTCCCTTTCTCTACTCCGATGTGTCCGCCATCATCTGACCAGGCGCTCCGTGGAGCGTCCTCGGGCTGCAGATCTGACGCTGCCTGATGACGGCAGTGGGCCCGGGGCCGCGCGCCGCGGCTGCTCTTCTCCGGTTCTCGGGAGGAGCGCGGAGATGCACCTTTTTAATCACAGCACCGGCGCTCAGGTGGCTCCGCGGCAAGAGGGGCTGATGACCGCCAGGAGGCAAGCCGGGAGCATCTCACGACGAGACGTCGCCAAGAGCGCGCGCGGACACCGAGTGAGAAGAGCGGGGAGGGCGGCGGACGGCAGGCAGGAGACAGCGGAGAGGCACGACGCCAGGAGGGCAGTGGCACGGGAGGCGGAGCGGAGAGGGGGCACGAGAGCGAGAACGGGGAGGCATGCCGAGCAGAGCAGCAGCGGAGAACGGACAAGGCGGGACTGGCGGGCACGAAAGGAGCGAGGAGGTGGAGATGGGAGAGAGAGGGTGTGGAAGGTAGGGTGTGGGAGGCAGGAGGATGCAGGAGGCACAGCAGGTGAAGATAGAAGTGGAGGGCAGGACGTAGGATATACAGTGCAAGAGGCTACAGGAGGAGGCGGTGAATGGAGAGGCGCTCAGAGATCTATGGGAGACAAGGAGGTCGAGGCGGGATGTGGGAGGCACGACAAGGAGATGCGGGAATGTGGGAATGAAGCGTCAGCGTGGGAAGAAGATGTAAGAGGTCAGCGGTGGCACCGCACCCCGCTGAACCCCTAACAGGAGCTCAGGGAAGTGCCGACAGTTGTGCAGGTGTCATCGCTCATGGAGGAAGGGCTAAGAAGACCGCGCTCCACACTCCGCTGGACCCCCGAGGAGCTCCCGATGCCGACAGGGAGAGGGGGCAAACGTAGAAACTCAAACGTCTGGGCGGATTTCCCAGATCGGCACTGGACCCCCATCCCCGGCGCGCGGAGCGCGCCAGGGGCGGCGCCGGAGGCGACGCCAGGGGGCCCCATCGCCGATCCGAGAAATCTGCGCGGACCTCGGAGGTTTTTATGTTCATGTAATTGTTCGCTCCCCTGCGACTAGCACAGCACTCTGCTGGACCCCCCAGGAGCCCATCAGAGTGCCGACAGTTGCACAGTTCGCAGCGCCCAGGGAAGGCAATGATCAGAGCGAGGGGGGCCGAAGGGTGACGGTCTCATACTGTCCCCTGGCTCCGTGGTTGAAATCGGGCTCCGCGGTGTCACTTCTTGTCGTGCTGCGTTCTTGCTGTCATCGCCCGAACAAGCCGCCCAACAACCCACTCCGACCCACCCGCGACCCAATCGCCAACCTCCCGCGACCTACGCTCGCGACCACCCCCCCCACAGTGAGCTGCAAAGGTCGCCGTCTGCCGCGGGCTGGTCGGCTGCGCTGACCACGGAGAGGTCGGCGCCCAGGACCAGACCCCCGACGCCATGATTTCTTCACAGCGTCGACCCTCAGAGGTATCAGCCCGTTCCCCTGAACAGGTCTTTCATCCTTGGTCGCTGCTCGACGGTCCCGAGGGCCGGCAAGGGCCTCCAGAGGCCGAGAGTATGGCAAAGCTCCCCGTCGTGATTTTTGTCGCGCCCGATGGGGGTCCGGGGGGCGGGCTTCCATACAGCTGCTCCCGGCTCGGGGACCTTCTGACCCGGGTCAATCCAGACCTGGGTCAGTCGGGCCTTGCAGAATCCTGCAAGATCCTGCACCCAGACCCGGGTCAGTGCGAAGCATCCTGCAAGATCCTGCAGCATCCTGCGCTCAAGCCCGGGTCCTTGCGGCCCGTGGCCCTGCAGGATCCTGCAACATCGGGCGTTCTGGCTGACCCCCGCCTGCAGTGCCCCCCGTCTCAGGGCTCCCGACTCCCGAGCCTCGCGGACCGCCGGCGCCCCCGCGCTGCGCCCCCGCGCTGCGACCCGCGCCCGCTGCAGTGCCACCCGCGGCGCCGCGGCGGGCTGGCGGCGCATCTTCGGCGCCCGAGCCGCGCAGGCCGCGGCGGGGCCGTGCACAGGCGCGCCACCCACGTGGGGAGGCAGGCTGCTGGGAGGCCTTCGCTGAGAGGGCGAAGACCCACCCCCACCCCCAGTCCCGACCCCATTTCCGAACCCGCGATCCAGGGGGTCGGGACTGGGGGTGGGGGTGGTTTGGTGGTTCCTCGGGGTCCAGGGATGGAGAAAACCTACCCCCACCCCCAGTCCCGACCCCTTGAATCGCAGGCTCGGGGGTGGGCGTCGGGACTGGGGGTGGGGGTGTGTTTTCGCCTTTTCATTCGTCGGAAGGGCGCGGGAACAGCAAGCCCCGGCGGGGGGCTGCCACAGGGGAGACCGCCAGCGCCGATCCAGGACAGCCGCGCGGAACTCCGAGAGTTTGTGCTTGTCGCGCGTGTCTGTCTTTGCAGCCCCCCTGCTGCGCACCCCCCCCCTCCATCGGGGATGGGGACGGAACCCCCTTTAGTAACACGTGGTTTAGTGAAAACGCCCTCGGGCCCAAACTGGCGGGCGCAGGCCTGGAAAACAACGGCCGCGGCGCCCTCTGAAGAACCAAAAACGGACAATTCACGGATCGACGTCCAACCCCGAAAACCTGTAGTGAGGATGGGCGGTGAGGACGCAAGGGCCTCGGGCGCCGAATTCGCATTTTTTTGGGCGGCGGGCTGCCAACACCCCGAGGAGATGGCCAGCGAAAACCGTGAAGGACGGGCCGCAAAGGCAGGGGCGCAATGGTAATTACCCTAAACGACACCCTTGAATCTGGGCTGTACGCCGGATTGGGATTGGACCGCGGACTCCGCGGGAGTCCGCGGGATCGAGCAGGACTTTGGTCCAGGGCACGGTCGGAGGTGGACCTCCCGGGCGTGGCCCCCGAACTCCCTCTGGCGCAAAAGGGCGCGAGACGTGCACGTCTGGTTCTGCGGATCTGGTCGGCACCGCGCTTCGCTGGATCCCGAGGAGCTCACGAAGGCGCCGAAAGGTGCGCAGCTCGCAGCGCCCGGGGAGGTGGGTCATCTGATATGTCTGCCCTGGGCAGCACCGCCCTGCGCTGGAAACCCCGGGAGCTCACAAGGCGCCGACGCCTGCGCAGTGCGCATCACCCAGGGAGGCGAGGCAGGAGGCAGGAGGCAGGAGGCAGGCAGGAGGAGGAGAGGAGCTGCACGGAATGCGTGCGGAGCTGCATTGAAAAACGACGTGCAAAAGTGTCAAGGCGTCTGCAAATGGGTGGGCGACGTGGAGAAACCCACTTGACGCCGCCACGGCCACCTGGCCGGAGCGCCCAAGCAGTTCGCGGCCCCAAGACTGCAAACCCAGACCCCCGACGTCACGATTTGTTCAGAACGTCCACCCTCGAGGGTCTCGACCCCTTCCCCCGGACCAGCTTCTCATCCTTGGCAGTCTTTTGACGGCCCCGAGGGCCGGCAGGAGCCTCCAGAGGCAGAACATATGGAAAACCCTTCCGTCATGACTTTTTCCTTGCCCGAGGGGGGGTCTGGGAATGCGGCCAGCTCGGGCGACGCACAGCTGTTATGTCGGGCGTGTCCCCCGCACAGGGGGATTTTCGACGAAAAATAAAAGATACCCCCAAAAGTTCCCCCCAAAGGTCCAAAAATACTCCAAATATAGTCCCTGGACTATTCTGGGACCATGTTTTGACTATTTTGGGGGTACTGGTATGTTTTCGTCGACACTCCCCCCTGTATGGGGGACAGGCCCGACATGACACAGCTGCCGGGGCGCGCTCGAGCTGCCCCCGGCGCTGCTCACGAGGAGCCCGTAGCCCAGGCGGCGCGGGCCCCGTGCGCGGCCTCCGCCGCCCTCGCGAGCGCCAGGTGCCCCAGCAGCTCGGCCGCGAGGGCGGCCCGGCCGGCGCTCTGGCACGCGCCGCTCAGGAGGGCGACGGTGCTCGCGAGGGGCGGCACCTCGAGGGGCAGCGACAAAAGCCCAGACATATCGGGCGTTTCTCGAGCAAGAATCGAGCCGGCGGCTCTTCATTAGTCCTTTGGCCTCTCGGGGCCCTCTCGCCGGGCCTCGGGACCGTCAAGAAGAACGACTCGGGATGAGAAAAGCCGGTCCCATGGGAAGTGGTCGGGAGAGGTCGGGGGCCCGCGTCTCGGAAAAAAATCGAGACGTCGGATGTCTGGGATGAGTAAGGAGGGGGCTGGCACAAGGGGGGGGTGCATCGACCTGGACTCGGCGATCCGTCGCCGACGGATCGGCGGTGGGCCCCCGATGGTGCATCGGCACCCTCCGGTGGAGGTTGGGGCCATCGGGCCCCCATCGGCGGTCAATGGGCGATTCGGGATCGCTGCATCCCCCCCTATGCCTATCCCCCCCCCTATCCTTGCCCCTGACACCTTCTTCTGGACCATGTCGTGGTACAGGTCGACGGCGTACTTGACGCGCTGCAAGGCGATGCCCGAGCGGATCGCGTGGTGGTAGGCGTACCGGTCGGGCTGCAAACACTGCTCCCGCATCTCCTCGAAGAGGGCAATGGCCTCCTCAAGATGGTCATTGGCCGCGCGGACTTTGATCATGATTCCAAATGTCTTTTCGTTGGCCAGCCCCGCGGTGCATGCCATCCGCTGGAACAACTCTTCGGCCTCGTCAAACATGCCAAGCTGAAATTGAGCACCCAGCACTGCATTGTACGCCGCCCAGTCGAGCTCAATTCCCAAATGTTGCATCTCTCTGTAAATTTTTAATGCGAATGCTGGGTCGGACCGCTCGTGAGCAACCACGATGTAGCGATATGCCCATCTGCTGAGGACGACTCCTGCGCTCTTCATCTCGAGGAAGTAATTCAAGACGATCTCGGGAAGCTGGTTTTTCCAAGCTTCTAGCACACGATTCTGAGTCGCAGGCGCCGGTGCGATCCCATGCGCTTGAATTCGCGGGCCCTGCGGGCCAGAGGCGTACTAGAATCTCCCGCAAGGGCTTCGAGATCCCTGCAGGGACCTACAAGAACACTCGCTTCGGTACGGAATCGCCGGCACTGTATAGCGGTCTGTGTCACCACATTGCCACCGCAGTGCGCCTCTGACGTGCACGGTGCCTTTCCTCTCTCTGGGTTGAGCGCGCGGAGCGGGCCCGGGGGTCCCTGGAGGGAAAAGTATACACCAGGCACTCGGCCAATCACCGGGCAATTGGGGGGACCTCCCCAGCCCTCTCCCGGGGTGCTCTCTGGGAAAAATTCGAAGCGAATCCGGTGGTGGCGACGAGGGCCTCCCCTGAGATCCGACGTAGCGAACAAAATGGCAACATCGTAGAAAATCACGCCCGGATCCCTGGACCTCACCGGGCAGTCACCGGACATCGGGTTCAGATGCCAGAACTCGCGGACGCGGGCTCCAAGACCCCCAGGACCCCAGACGTCATGATTTTTTCACTACGTCGACCCCCGAGCTCTCGACCCATTCCCCTGGACCGGTTTCTCATCCTGAGCCGTTTTGGACGGTCCCGAGGGTCGGTAGGAGGCCGAAAGTGTGGAAACACCTCCCGTCCTGACTTGTTCATTACTCGAGGGGGTATTGGCCTCCACGACAGCCCCAGGGAGCGCCCCGAGCGAGCTCCAAGGGCCGGGAGACGGCCCGAGAGCGCTCCAAGGTGGCCTCAGCACGGCCCCGAAGACGGCCCAAGAGAGCCCCCCCGAGAAGGCCCCAAGGCGCGACAGAAAGAAGGACTTTCTCGCAGTTTGTTCTCAACAATCCTGTGCTGTTGGATCTGCGTTCGGAGAGAGAAAGAGAGATAGAGAGAGAGAGAGAACAAACAAAGAAAAAGAAACCGTCCTGCCTCCTCACCTCCTTATGATCCTCCTCCTCCTCCTCCTCCTCCTCCTCCTTCTCCTCCTCCTCTACCCTCACCTCCTCCTCTTCCTCTTCCTCCTCCTCCTCCTCCTCCTCCTCCTCCTCCTCCTACCGCTCCCAGCTCCCTCCTCCCAGCCCTGCTTCTCTGGGCTTCTGACAGCCCAAGACGTTCCAAGAGGCCTCCGAGATCGCTCCAAGACGGTCCCAGAGGCGCCGAAAAGAGCAGGGCCCAAGAAGGACCCATGACGACCCGACAGGCCCCGAAGAGGGCTTCCGAGACAGCCAGCAGGAGAACCAACGAAGCATCCAACACGCCTCTGACCCGCGATGGCGGGCTGCGCTGACGCACCGTCGGTGGGGGCGTGCTCCATGGAATGCTGCCTGCAACTACACAGCCACGGCTTCTCCCTCAAGCGAGATTCACGCGACAACTCCCGGCAACCGACCGCCGAGCACCGCTTTCTCAGCCTCCGCGAGCAGGCAGATAAGCAATACAATACCCCAAAACCGTTGGAAAGGAGACCTAAATCGGGAGGACCCAAAACATTTAGGATAGGGGGTCTTCTCTGAAGATGTATCAGACCAGACGGCCCAGGTGTATCATCCCTAATGCCAGGACGGGGACCTAAGTGAGGCCACGTCTTCATCGTGTTATCAGGATTAGGGGTTCTGCTGTTCTCGATAAGGCCAGTGCCAGAATCGATACAATGCGGGGCGGCGGAGTGGGCGAAGCGACTGAATGAGGTCAAGAAGCCGCACTCCGTCTTCCTGAATGCGCTTGTCATCGAGAGCTTCGCCGACTAGCTTGAAGAACCTGTGTGATACGGCCTTGCCGATGAGGTGTGCTTTGGGGGTGGCCCCAGTCTCCAACATCTGGTCGAACAACTTGACAGCTGCGTCTCCATGTGCGAGACGGATGCAACTATGCATTGCTTCCAAAACTTTGGAGCTGTTGTGGGGCACGCCGTCTGCCATCATGCATCTGATGACGTGTAGGTCGGACCTCTGTCGGCAGGCTTCGTGTCCGGATGAATCTCCTGAGTCTGTCGAACTGCCATGGCAAGAAAATTGCTTCACGGGTGGCCATTGTTCCGTCGTGCTGGCTGCAGGACCAACCTGGCGTCGGACATCAGGAGCCACCTTGTCGATCGCTGCCTTCGTCGCATGATACTTGTCCTTATTGGTGATCCGTTCCGTGGCTCTCGACCTGTAAGCATCCAGTATGTAGGCCACAACAATGAACCACAGCAGCAGCAAGAATTCGACTTGAACCTGTGTCCCTCCAGTCATGCTGGACGGAAAAATCCACACCTGGCGCAACGCGAAGACGTCCGTACAAAACAGTGCCAGACATATGAGAGGAATGTGGGCGGCAAACACCGACGAACACTTTTGGACGTTCCGTTCCATCCTCGTGGTCGCAGCTGCCATCTGAATTTGAGAAAGGTATGTATAACGCCGACCCAATTGGGCGCTGACTGAACGTATACTATATATAACGACTAAGTGTTCCCAAGCGTGGCTTGATCTGATCCGAAATGCTTGAGCCAAAACGGCTGCGGGGGCGGGAGGAGGAGAGACCGCCAACCGGGCGGCCCAACAAACCCTAAAGAAAGTAAGAAAGACAACGAGCGGGAACTTGATGGGGCCCCGGCAGCCCTACCCCACAAGATGGCGCCCAAAGACCCTGAGCATGCCCCCAAGAGGGCCCCAAGAGGACCCGAAGGAACTCCCAGAACGGCCCCAGACGCTCCCTAAGCCCCGAGGGGGCCCCCAAGAGGCCGCCAAAGAGGCCTCCAAGAGGCCCCCAGGAAGCCACGCGGAGGCAGAGGAAGCTTCATTCGCCGACTCCTCGACGTCTCCTCGGTGGGTGAAATTGCTGCTCTTCCCTAATCTTAAGTCGGGCCTGTCCCCCTACAGGGAGATTTTCGACGAAAAACAAAAAAACCCAAAATGCTCCAAAAATAATGCAAAAATAGTCGGCGGATTTTGGGCTACTTTTTTGGACTATGTTTGGGCTATTTTTAATGTATTTCTATTTTTTCGTTGAAGATCTCCCTGTAGGGGGACAAGCCCGACCTAACCCTAATCCCCTCCACCGGGAGCCTTATATCTGGCCGTCTCGGAGGGGGCGGCCCTGCCGGCCCAGGCCGGCGGACGCACCAGCCCCACACGTGCCGCTATGATCGCGCCGAGATTCCATATATAGGTGCCGCATGCATCGAGCAAAGCGGTCCAAGCTGGCCCCAAAGCGGCCCATGAGGCCCCCAAGACGCCCAAGAGGGCCCCAACGAAGGCTTTCAAGAGGGCTCGGGCCCTTTTTCCCCGGCGTGCAGAATCAATCACGCTGTCGAGCTTCAGGACCCCCCAGACGGCCTAAAAGGCCACCATGTTGCCGCATGACGGCCCAAGGAGCCCCCCCAGTGAGTCTCAGCACGGCCTCTGAGGGCCGGAGCTGAAGACGCCCCTAAGGGAAGCCCAAGAGGGGCGGAAGAGAGAAGACATCGAGCTGGCCCTTCGGAGCCATAACCCGCCAGAATCACCCCAGAAGGCCCCTGGAGGCCCCCGAAGCGCCACCAAGAGGCCCCAAGATGCCTCCACGAGCCGCCCTCCCACCACAAGCCCTAAGACGCCCCCGAAAGAGGCCCCGACCAAGAGGCCCTCGGGAGCCCCCCAAGAGGAGCCCCAGAGATCCTCCGCAGGGAGGCCCCGAGACGCTCCCAAAGAGACACCGACACCGACACCGGCCCAAGGGGCCTCCAACGGCCCCGCCAGGCATCCCAGGAAGCCCCATCGGGAGGCGCCACGGTACGAAACACGACGTCCGCCAGCGACGCCACGAACGGGCCCGCGGGCCCCCGAAAGGTCGGCGGTGCGGCGTGGGCCATGGATCAGTGTCAGGACTGCAGCGGAGCGCCGCGGCAGTCCGACAGGACGGGTGTGTGTGACGCAAACGGCCAGGGCCTTTGTGGGCCCTGGAAACGGCAGGGCCGTTTTTTCACCGTGTCCAAAAAATGTCCCTTGAAAATGGAAACGGCAAAAAAACAGCGACCGGAAACGGCAAAAAAACGGTTCCAGGATTGGAACCGGAGCCGGAACTGGTCAAAAAACGGCGACGGAACCGGTAACAAAAAACGGCGTCGGAACCGGCAACACAAACGGCAAAACGGAACCGGTAAGAAAACGGCCCTGTCGTTTCCAGGGCCCACTAAGGCCAAGGCACGATACCTCAGGGAAGCCAGTTCACCGTATATTGTCATATTCTCCTTTGCAAAGCAAGACCTTAACACCCCCCAGGGGCCCCGCCGAGTCGCCGACCCTTTTGCGTTCCATCTCGCAAGTTCATGTTCAAGCGTACTAAAACCAAAGGGAAATGATTTTGGCCTCCTGGGTTTCCCCAGGAGCCCAAGAAAGACCTCAAGACAGCTCAAGATGGTTTCATAACGGCCCCAAGACGGCTCAAGATGGCCCCAAGAGGCTTGGCTTATCTTGAATATGCCATGCGTTTTTTGCTGCGTGTTTAAACTGGCGTTCTGGAAATCACTATTGTAGCGTTTCCGGGCTTCAATGCCAAAACTGAGAATGCTAAAAAACATGCAGTTTGTCGTATTAGTCTTCAGATCTGTTGATGTTCTTTGTCGGAACCCGCCGCGGATGGGCTTCCAGGCCTGTTTCGCACCAGTGTCAGACCGGCGTCAGAGCATTATGTTTACCGTTTGCAGCTCTGCGCGCGGAAGCCAGTTCCAGCCCCCGCCGCATCTACGGATGTTACGGCGCATCGGAAATCGCGAAAGAACAAAACTAAAAGCACCGACAAAATCGGAGCGTCTGTTTAGCGTGTTCAGACTGTCAAGAATCCATGATAGAAAACGCAGCAGAAAAAGCCCAGGGCGCTTTTAGGATGAGCCATGCCAAGACGGCCCATTAGGCCCCCAAGATGGCCCCAGAGAGCCCCGAGGGGACCCCCGAGAGCGCCTCGGATGCCAAAAGCGGTGTGCCACTAGGTTGTTGAAAGATTTAGGCGTTTTCGCACGTCTGGACTCTCGGAGCGCATGGCGGCCAAACCAGCCTCCAAAATGACGCCCATGCGGCCCAAACGGGCCCCAAGACAGCCCAAGAGCACCCCAAGATGGCCCACAGAGGCCCACAAGACGGTCCAAGAGGCCCTGAAGGTGGCCCAGGCAGGACTGCCGCAGGAGAGCCCCAAGGCGGCTCCGAGAGGAGGCCCCCAAGGCAGCCTCCGAGGGGGCCAAAAGGCGCAAGGGAGCGCCCGGGAGCCCCCACAACGACGGAACCGTGCGCAGCCCGTGCGGACGTGCACCCCGTGGAAGGCGAGAGGAGTCGACGGCCACTGCACGCGGGCAGCACGACGGGACGCGGCGGCAGACGACACGCACGGAATCGGAAGCTGCACAACAGAGACCCAGGAGAGGCCTTCCTTTTCCTCCTCCTCCTCCTCCTCCTCCTCCTCCTCCTCTTCCTTCCTCCTCTTCCCTCCTCCTCCTCCTCCTCTCCTCCTCCTCCTCCCTCCTCCTCCTCCTCCTCCTCCTCCTCCTCCTCCTCCTCCTCCTCCTCCTCCTCCTCCTCTTGATGGGGCCACGGGAGCCCTCCCCCAGACCATGGCCCCCAGGAGCCCCGGCATGCCCCGAAGAGAAGGCCATAGGGGCTCGCAGGAGGCCCCCCCCCCCGGGGCCCCCTCCAGAGCTCCCAGGCGCCCAAACGAAGAGGCTCCAGGGAGGTCACCAGAGGAAAAAAAAACCACGCGGAGGAAGGGGCGCAGCAAGAACACGACGGGGAGCGGCAGGCAACACGCACGCCGGCTGAGGCCACACATGTCCTCCCTGGTGGGGGATCGGCGGAGCGGCCCGAGCCTCTCGGGTCCGCCCGCCCACCGGGCTGGAGGGGGGCGTGCGAGAGGTCACTTGTGACACCCCCTTGCTTGGCATCGCGCGGGCGTGTGCAGCTTCTCCTCGGCGAGGACCATCGAGGAACACGTGGGGTCATCCTGGCGAGAAGAAAGATTCACGCCCGAGGCAACAACACGCACGGTAGATGGACGTCCGAGCGATGGCAAGTCAGGGCTTCAGCCCTCCCTCGGGGGCGCCCAAACATGGACTAACGATGCATGGATTTGGCGCGCGGTCGCCAAATCCGTGCATCGGCGGCGGTGCCATCCCCAAAATGCGGGCGGTGCCGCCTCGCTCGGCGGCGGAAATCCGCGGTTCCCCATGGAAACGGAACCCGTTGCTAATCCACGCCCCCTTGATCCATGTTTGCGATCGCCGGGGAGCCTTGTCGAAGACATGGATCATCCGCGCCCCTGGGTACATGTAGTGCTCTCCCCTAGGCTATTTGCCCCCCCCCCACCGCCCTCCCCACCGCCCTCCCCCCCCCCGTCCCCCCCAAAAGGCCTTCGCCACTCCGCCGCCAGGCCGCGGCACGTGCCCCCTGTCGGCCAAGCGCCCATTCGGGGCGGATTCGTGTCTCATGCTGGCCCCTTCGAGGTTGGCCCCTTTGGGGCCCTGCCTTGGGCACCAAAATCGACGCAAGGAGCCCTCACAAGCGCATCTTGGGCCACACTCCGCCCACAAACTGGAAACTTCAAACATATAGCAAATCCCATGTTTTGTGTACGGTTGAAGCCTCGACAAGAATCGCCCAGAAGCCTCTTACGGAGGATCTTGGGGTTCGTCACTGGTTTTTTCCAACCCTGCTGCTCTGGGTTCTCGTTTTGAATAAAGCACTGCGCTCGCAAAATGTTCCTCCTTCCTGCCTCCCTTCTCCTCAGCCCCTCCTGCCTGCCTGCCGCCCTGCCTGCCGCTCTGCCTCCCACCTCGCCGCGTCACACCTTGCCGTCCTGCCGGGTGGCTCCTTGCGGAGGCTGCGATCTGCAGAACAACCACCACCCCTGCAGGCTACCGGAACGCCCGCCCGGTTGACGCCCCACGCACACTTATACTAGACCTCGTTATCCCTGAAGGGGGCTGCGGCCCCCGAAACTGTCGCAACTTTTGAGGGGTGTTGGTGGGTCCGGCGGGGTGACGCCCCATGCAGGGCCAGATTCGACCTCGCCATCCCTGGGGGCAAAGATCTGCGTAACTGTCGCCATTGTTGATGCTTGGTGTGGGGTCCCGCGGCGTGACGCCGCATGCATATTCAAATTAAACCTTGCCGTCCGCGGGGGGGCTGCGATGTGCGAAAATGTTGCCATTGTTGAGGGTTGGTGGGGGGGTCCAGCGAGGTGACGCCCCACGCAGACTCAGATTCGACCTCGCCATCATTGTGGGGCTGCGATATGCGAAGGTGTTGCCACCTCAGAGGGCTGCTGGCGGGTCCCACGGCGTGACAACCCACGCAGACGCAGATCTGACTTCGCCATCCCAGGCGCAAGCGGTATGCGAAATTCCAGCAAAGTCTGGAGCCTACTGGGGAGTCCTGCGGGATGACACTTTACGCAAACCCAAACTCGACCTCGCCATCCCTGGAGGCGGGCGATCTGCGAAACTGTCGCCATTGTTGAAGGTGGATGGGGGGCCCGCTGCGTGAAGCCCCTCGCAAACTCACACGAGAATTCGCCATCCCTGGGGGGAGGCTGCGATCAGCGAAACGGCCGCCGGTCTTGAAGGCCGCTGGAGATTAAAACAGGCCGACGCGCCACGCAGACTCATATTACACCTCGCCGTCCCTGGGGGGATGCGATATGCTGCAAAACTGTCGCCACTTTCGAGGGCAGCTGGGGGGCCAGCGGGGCGACGTTTTACGCGGCCTCATACTCGACCTCGCCATTCCTGGGGGGCTCCGGGCTGCGAAACTGTCGCTCAAACTAAACTTCCGCACCCTTGTGCGACGGTGCCGCCACCTTCGGCGGCTACTGCGAGGTTCCAGTACGACGACGTCTCACGCGGACTCATATTGGTTTTCGCCGCCCCAGAAGGGACTACGATCTGCGAAACTGCCCCTCCGATCGAAGGTCGCTTGAGGGCTCCGCAAGGTGACGGTCTAACTGGGCTCCGATTCGACTTCATCATCCCTGGGAGCTGCGATAAGCGAGACCGTCGCCACTTTCGAAGGCCGCCGGAAGTTAAGCGCAGTGGCGTCCCACGCGCGCCCAGATTCGCTGTGATGTCCTTCCTGCGGGCCGCCCGAAACCTGGCGATGCGCCTGCGGGCGTCCAGCTCCTGCTTAGCATCGCTTGACCGATCCCCATCCCCAACAGCATGGCTTGGGCCCCCCAGGCCGATTTACCTTCCTAGATGGGAATATAGGCCGTTCCCATCGGGTTTCGAGGGGTGTATCCCCAAGTGGGGTGGCCATTTGAAGGGGGCTTCGAAGGGGATGAAGATGGGGATGGGGGTCGGATCTACGATACTGACCTGCACTGCAAGGTTCGGGAAGGAAGCCGAGAACCTGGCGGGCGGGCTGGGCCTTGTTCGCTTCTTACACTCGCTCTGGACAGCTGGCCGATTGGAGCTGCGGATCGACACGGCGCGGGCCGCGCTGCTTGGCAAGTGCGCCAATGGAACCTGATCGCCGCGCTCCTTCCTTATCCTGCCTCCTTATCCTTATCCTGCCTCGTTCCTCCCTCCACCGTCTTGGGACGCCACCGCCGCCGTCTCCCTTGTCGGTGGCCCTGACGAGGTTGGGGGAGAGGGTGCCGAAACGCGCCCACGAGTCCAGCAAGGTATGAGGGTGCAAACCCGACTTGTCTGGCTGACGCTCTGGGGGGGCCCGTGATCAGGGGAGGCTGCAGCACCGCTCAACGATGTGCTGTCTAACCGAACCTGCAGGGTGGGCCCTTTCCCGAATCCGTGCTTCGGTGCGGATCGTCTGCGCGCCTCGCCTCCGTCGTCGTCGTCGTCGTTGTCGTCGGCGTCGTCGTGGTCATGGTGCGTATTGCTCTGCTCGGGGCTTGTTTCCCTAATGCAGTAACCACCACCACCCTCCACCGTCTCAATGCTGCTGTCGCGCTAACTGTTCGGACCCCCTTTTCCGTCCTGTTCTGGCCCCACGTTTCCATCCCAATTTCCTCTGCGAGCTTGGGGCCTCAGCCCTTGCCCTTCCGATGCTGTCCTGTGAATCGTCCAACGCGCGCGACCCCCTTTTAGCTTGCACAACCAATGCCAGATCCTGTATTGTCATCAGCCAGCTCACGACCAACCCCGATTGCCATTCAGTGCGGATGGTTCGGATACGTCGCAGGGTGATGTCAGGGACAAGTTTGAACGAACCAGCATCCAACTTGAACCCAAAAGCGGGCCCCAAACTGGTCCAGCTCCCGGCCAGGTTTCACAAAGCTCGGACGTCGTGGCAGGGACCTAAAATGAGGATGCTCGCGCTTGGGCCGTCCGTCGGTCCGCCTGCGCAACCTCGGGCCCATCTTGGCTCCTGTTGGAGCCCTTTTCGGAGCCCTCTTGTGATTCTGAGGCCGTCTTCATGCCAAATTTGGTCGAAATGTTGGGTGGTGTTCTGGCTATTTCTGGCCTCCTGCTGTGGACAGGGAGCAAAGGTCCACAGAGCCAGCGTCCATACCACTGATCCGTCGGTAATGATGCCGGGCATCGGTCAGTCACACGGCATTCCATTCGGCGATGGCATGGTGAAGAAATGCAGCGCACGACTAAATACAAAGCACACACAGGCACACAGTCACACACACACACACACACGCACACGCACACGCACACGCAACCGCACACGCACACGCACACGCACGCACGCACGCACGCACCTGCGAAAGGGTCGTCCCCCTTTTTCGGACCATCGCCTCTTCTGGAGAAAACTGGATTGGGCGGGCGGTGAACGCGAAGCGTCTCGAATAAGGTGGTAGGGAATTGAACCCGTTCGCGGTCCTCCTTCGAGCCTGCAGCCACGGGTGCTGGCGGCGGCACTCTGGCGCCAGGGCCACGTGAGGCTATTGCCTCTGCTGTGGTCGCCGTCTGCGACACAGTCGTGGCGGCCATCTCGTCTGCTGGTGCAGGTGTGGCGCCAACCGTGCGAGAATGCGGACTTGTGCGCTGGGCTAAGCTGGGTGAAGAGCGCTGGGACGCACAGCCCGAACTGGGACTCGTGCCTGTCTCCGCTGACGGACACATGGTGCTGGCTGGCACGGCGGCTGCCATCGCCACTGCCGACGCCGCGCGAGGGGCAGCCGCTAACAACTTCGGCAGTGCGCCGCGCCCCTCTGCGACCACGGGTAGCGTCTCTGCTGGCGTCGCGCTGGGCACGGCAGCTGTGCATGCGGCAGCCAGCGCAATGGCAGCGCGGTCCCGCGGCGTCATGCCGCCGCAGACTCCAATGGCAGCCATGGGTGGCGCCGCTGCCAGCGACGCACTGGGCACGGCGGCTGTGCATGCTGCAGCCGGCGCCATGGCGGCGCTGTCCCACAGGGGCATGCCGCCACACCCTCCAATGGCAACCATGGGCGGCGTCGCCGACGGCGTCGCGCTGGGCACGGCGGCTGAGCATGCGGCAGCCAGCGCCATGGCGGCACGGCCCCGCGGCGACATGCCACCACACCCTCCAATCGCAGCCATGGGTGGCGCCGCTGCCAGCGTCGCGCTGGGCACGGCGGCTGCGCATGCGGCAGCCAGCGCCATGGCGGCGCGGTCCCGCGGTGCGGCCGTCGGAGGCAACGCCGAAACAACCAAGTCACCGTGCGCGGCCACAGCAGCCTGGTCCCCTTGCTGCTGTGTGCCAGTAGGGCTGCGCGAGCCAGACGGGGATCGAGAACATATCGCCAGCGTCGCAGACGCGGCGTCTGCAGTGCCCTTCGCGGCAACGGCCGCCCGGCAGCGTGCCGCGGCGTCCGTGCTCACAACGGCCACGGCGGCAACCGTGGCAACCGGGTCTCCATGCTGCCGTGTCCGCCGTGTGGCACCCGGGCTGCGCGAGCCGGAGGGGGATCGGGAGCGCACCGCCAGCGTGGCGGACGCGGCGTCTGCACTGGCCTCCTCGGCAGCGGCCGCCAGGCAACGCGCCGCGGCATCCGTCCTCGCAGCGGCCACGGCGGCAACCATGGCAGCCGGGTCACCCTGCTGCCGTGTGCCACTAGGGCTGCGCGAGCCGGAGGGGGATCGAGAGCGCACCGCCAACATCGCAGACGCGGCGTCTGCACTGGCCTCCTCGGCAGCGGCCGCCTGGCAACGCGCCGCGGCATCCGTCCTCGCAGCGGCCACGGCGGCAACCATGGCAGCCGGGTCACCCTGCTGCTGTGTGCCACCCGGGCTGCGCGAGCCGGAGGGGGATCGGGAGCGCACCGCCAGCGTGGCGGACGCGGCGTCTGCACTGGCCTCCTCGGCAGCGGCCGCCTGGCAACGCGCCGCGGCATCCGTCCTCGCAGCGGCCACGGCGGCAACCGTGGCAGCCGGGTCACCCTGCTGCCGCGTGCCACCAGGGCTGCGCGGGCCGGAGGGGGATCGGGAGCGCACCGCCAGCGTCGCAGACGCGGCGTCTGCACTGGCCTCCTCGGCAGCGGCCGCCAGGCAACGCGCCGCGGCATCCGTCCTCGCAGCGGCCACGGCGGCAACCATGGCAGCCGGATCACCTTGCTGCCGTGTGCCACCCGGGCTGCGCGAGCCGGAGGGGGATCGGGAGCGCACCGCCAGCGTGGCGGACGCGGCGTCTGCACTGGCCTCCTCGGCAGCGGCCGCCTGGCAACGCGCCGCGGCATCCGTCCTCGCAGCGGCCACCGCGGCAACCGTGGCAGCCGGGTCACCCTGCTGCCGCGTGCCACCAGGGCTGCGCGGGCCGGAGGGGGATCGGGAGCGCACCGCCAGCGTCGCAGACGCGGCGTCTGCACTGGCCTCCTCGGCAGCGGCCGCCAGGCAACGCGCCGCGGCATCCGTCCTCGCAGCGGCCACGGCGGCAACCATGGCAGCCGGGTCACCTTGCTGCCCCCGGGCTGCGCGAGCCGGAGGGGGATCGGGAGCGCACCGCCAGCGTGGCGGACGCGGCGTCTGCACTGGCCTCCTCGGCAGCGGCCGGCTGGCAACGCGCCGCGGCATCCATCCTCGCAGCGGCCACGGCGGCAACCGTGGCAGCCGGGTCACCCTGCTGCCGCGCGCCACCAGGGCTGCGCGGGCCGGAGGGGGATCGGGAGCGCACCGCCAGCGTCGCGGACGCGGCGTCCGCAGCGCCCTCCGCGGGCGGCGCGGACCCGGGCTCCGCAGCAGCGGCCGCGTCGCCGGCCACGGCTGCGGCCGCCGCCTCGGCAGCGGCCGCCCGGCAGCGCGCCGCGGCGTCCGCCCTCGCGGCGGCCACGGCGGCGGCCGCGGCGGCCCTGGCGGCCGCGCCTGCCGCTGCGGCGTCCGCGGGGCGCCGTGGCGTCGGGGGAGCGGGCCCGCAGCCGGCCACGTGCTCGCGCAGGGGAGGGCGGCCTCGGGCAGGCGCGCGCCCCGGCGGCGGCGCGACCTGCGCGGCGGCAGGGCGGGGTCGCAGCTCTCTGCGTTCTGTGCTCGGCTGCGAGCAGCCCAGAACCCACTCGGGCAATGAGAAACTCACGACGGGAGGCTTCGGCCTCGGGAGGCCCTTGCGGGCCTCGGGGCCGCCGAAAAACGACTCGGGGTGAGAAACGGGTGCTGGGGGATGGGTCGAGACCTCTGAGGGTCGGCGTTACGAAATGGTCATGACGTCGGGGGTCTGGGAAGAGCGACCCTGGGTAAGAGTGGCCTTTGGTGCGCGGCTTGTGGGGGACCGCGGGGGGACCAAACACGAGCGCGCAAGACGCCACTACCGCACCGCCTTCGGCGACTGGGGGCCCGCCAGTGGGCCCGCACCAATGGTCACTCTAACGATGGGTCACTCTTACGTGCAGTCGATAATCTGGCAGCCAAGAGAGCGAGCGGGAGGAGTAACGGAGCCGGGCGGAGCAGCGGAGGGCCGCGAGGTGTGTGTGTGTGTGTGTGTGTTGTGTGTGTGTTGTGTGTGTGTGTGTGCGTGTGCGTGTGCGTGTGCGTGTGCGTGTGCGTGTGCGTGTGCGTGTGCGTGTGCCTGTGTGTGTGTGTGTCTGTGTGTCTGTGTGTCTGTGTCTGTGTGTCTGTGTGTCTGTGTGTCTGTGTGTCTGTGTGTCTGTGTGTCTGTGTCTGTGTCTGTGTCTGTGTCTGTGAGTGTCTGTGAATGTGTGTGTGTGTGTGTTTGTGTGTGTGTTTGTGTGTGTGTTTGTGTATGGTTGTGTGTGCGTGTGGGGGGGTAGGGAGCCTGCGGCAGGATCGTGCCGCAACGGCGTCGGCGCTGGCTCCTGACCCCTTCTGACACCGCGGGGAGCCTTCGCCTCGAAGGATCGTGGGGCCGGCCCATGGCGCAAGGCGTCGGGCATCGGTCAATTTCACAAGTAGGCCACTGGCGGTCTCCTCTCTGAGCGGCCGCACGCCAGGGTCGCCGCCGCTCCCAACACGGCACGAGCCTGCAGTGCGAGCAGGATTCGCGGGGGGCGCTGCCGCCCCCGCCCCGTCCGCCCTGACGCCATGGCGGACGGTGGGGATGTCAGGAAGGGAAGGGTCGCAGACATGTGGGGGAAGAAGGGGGTCGGAACAGAAGCCACTCCATAATTACGCAACTGTCCTACGGCCGTCAAAACATGCACACAAACACACACACACACACACACGCACAGACACTGTATCTCTCTCCCACCTCAAGCGCGCCCGATTTCCTCCTCCCACCGTCCCTACAGGTGCACACCGATCCAGCCAACCAATATCAGTACGTCCCTGCCTGGCTACGAGCACAGCCACTTTGCTGCATTGGCTAAGCAAGGGCCAACCACCCCTTAGCTCACTCGCCTGGCCCCTATTCCAGTCCCCCAAGGTTAGGTCGGACATGTCCCCCTACAGGCCGATACTGGACGAAAAATAACTATTAAAACATTGTCAAAAAATCGTCACTAGACATTTGATTTACCACATTTGAGTATTCCCCCTGTAGAGGGACGGGCCCGACTTAACCCTAAGGTGAGCCCGATAGGCCTCTAAAGCGAACCTAAGGCACCCAAACAACCACAGAGAGGCCACATGAAAGGCCAGACAAGATCAATACCACCCCAAGCTGGCAGCTGTTTCGGCATGTCCTGACTCCCAAACTGTTTGGCCAAGATGGCAGCAGGAGTCGGCCCAGTGACAGCCCAAGACTAAGACTAAGAATGCTCTCATGACTGCGTAAAGCCCAACCCCGATACGGCCCACAGAGGCCTCTGGAAGGCCGAGGACTGCCTAGGAGGCCGTCCAGACAACCGCAGACTGTGCTCAGACAGCACAGGAATGGCCCAAAAAGGCCCCAAGAAACACTGACACGGCTTAAGAGGGCTCCATGATTCCCTAGAGCAGCCCAAGGGGAACGCATTTTTTCTTTTCTCCCAAGTCCCGCAAGGGCGTCCTGCCTGCCCAAAGCGGCCGCGCTCACTCCCAGTGGGCGATGGCGCGGGAGAGGCCGCCCGACAGTGCCAGCAGCTCGGACGCCTTGGTCCCGGTGGCCGAGTCCTTGCACTCATCGCGGACTTCCAGGCTCTTCTGGTGGGTCTCGTAGGACTTGGTCACTGCCTTGCTGTCGAGCCCCAGGAGGCCCTGCAGGCTCTTGCTCCTCTCCTCGCCGAGACCCTTCACGTGTGCCACCTTGACGGTCAGGTACTGGCGCCCAGGCTTCGGCATCGCGACGTCGATCTCGAGCTTCCTGGCCTTCTGGTCCTCCGTGCCCACGCGGAACAGGAAGCGGTGCTCGAAGGGCCCCTTGATGTCCTCGCTGTGGCCCTCGCGCCTGCCGATCACGCCCTTGACCGTGGTGACCATGCCGGAGCCCTCGTCCTTGTGGATGAACTGCTCCCACCCCGTCATGTTCTTGAAGGGCTTCCAGGGGCTGTCGTGCTTCTTCGGGTCCACCTTCAGCGCGAAGTCGGAGCTGGTGCCCTGCGCGCGCACCTGCACGGTCGTGCCGCCGAGCCAGCTGCCGGTCAGGGTGATCTTCTTGATGAACAGCAGGCACGGGTCCCCGATCTCCAGCTCCTTCACAAGCGCCGACACCTCCAGCAGGCTGCCGTGGCGCTTCTTGGCGTTGGGCACAACCAGCAGCGCGTGATCTCCCGGGCGGTGGATCTGGAATCGCTTGCCGTACAGTCCCAAGATCTTCGGGTCGCCCGAGGCCGGCCCGGTGACCGTCGAGTACTTCAGCTCGTCCTCCCGGGCCTGCTCCGGATCCGGATCCGCGCCCTCCTGGACCTGGAGCCCCAGGGCGCGCGGGAGCGCCAGGAGCAGGAGCGCGGCCGCGCAGCGGGGCATCGCAGTGCGGAAGTAAAGGATACTTGATTGGGGGGTTCACGGAGCGCCTCGGGCAGAAGCAGGGCTACGGAGGGCGACAGGTAGCAGCAGCAGCTGGGAGCAGGGGGTCCGCTCTGCTGTTAGATTCCCCGAGCCCTGCTCGAACTGAGGGCTTCTTGCTCGTTCTTCTCAAGAGTTGCCCTCCGTTTACCCGGATTTGCGGAGTCGTCCCCCAGGAAGGTCCCGCCCCTAGGGCGTCCGTCCCCATGAGGTCCTGTCCGTGAGGTCCCGCCCACATCCTGCCATCCACAGAGGATGAGGAGCTCAGAGCGTAGAGTAATGTGAAAAGGGTGGACAGCAAGGAAGTTTAGGAGAGAGCAGAACATACGACCTGAAGAACAAAGAGTAGCATGTAGACAGTTGAACAGTGATGGGGGAAAGTGGAGGTCAGAGCGTAAATAGCAGGACAGCAGAGAGTAGAAGGTAGAGACTAGTGGGCCAAGAGTGGAGAGCCTCTAGTCAGTAGAGGATACAGTCGCGACTAAGTGGAAGGGACACGCCAGAGCGCCAGAGGACACAATACCCATTCGAGGGACGTCGTGGGCATGAAACACAGGACACAAGAGCACCCTTGATTTGGAAGGGTCGACTTACTAATCAAACGCGACTGTAGAACGCACACGGGTCTCACCCGTGGGGTCCCACCCTTGGGGATGGTGCCGTCCGCACAGGGCCATGCACGGCATCCCGTAGATGATCCCCCATTCTTGAAAATTAACGCGCAGACATTCAAATGTACCCCACGGGTTGCCCCCAGAATCTGTGCACCGTACGTTGCATCCCATGGATTGCGCTCCATAAAGTGCAACACGAATTGCAACCTATGGATTGCACCCCGAAGGTTGCGCATCGTTTTTGCTCCGTGCGCTTGCAAAATGGCGTCGTGCAGCCCGAAGCAGCCGCGCTCACTCCCAGTGGGCGATGGCGCGGGAGAGGCCGCCAGACAGGGCCAGCAGCTCGGACGCCTTGGTCCCGGTGGCCGAGTCCTTGCACTCATCGCGGACTTCCAGGCTCTTCTGGTGGGTCTCGTAGGACTTGGTCACTGCCTTGCTGTCGAGCCCCAGGAGGCCCTGCAGGCTCTTGCTCCTCTCCTCGCCGAGACCCTTCACGTGTGCCACCTTGACGGTCAGGTACTGGCGCCCGGGCTTCGGCATCGCGACGTCGATCTCGAGCTTCCTGGCCTTCTGGTCCTCCGTGCCCACGCGGAACAGGAAGCGGTGCTCGAAGGGCCCCTTGATGTCCTCGCTGTGGCCCTCGCGCCTGCCGATCACGCCCTTGACCGTGGTGACCATGCCGGAGCCCTCGTCCTTGTGGATGAACTGCTCCCACCCCGTCATGTTCTTGAAGGGCTTCCAGGGGCTGTCGTGCTTCTTCGGGTCCACCTTCAGCGCGAAGTCGGAGCTGGTGCCCTGCGCGCGCACCTGCACGGTCGTGCCGCCGAGCCAGCTGCCGGTCAGGGTGATCTTCTTGATGAACAGCAGGCACGGGTCCCCGATCTCCAGCTCCTTCACAAGCGCCGACACCTCCAGCAGGCTGCCGTGGCGCTTCTTGGCGTTGGGCACAACCAGCAGCGCGTGATCTCCCGGGCGGTGGATCTGGAATCGCTTGCCGTACAGTCCCAAGATCTTCGGGTCGCCCGAGGCCGGCCCGGTGACCGTCGAGTACTTCAGCTCGTCCTCCCGGGCCTGCTCCGGATCCGGATCCGCGCCCTCCTGGACCTGGAGCCCCAGGGCGCGCGGGAGCGCCAGGAGCAGGAGCGCGGCCGCGCAGCGGGGCATCGCAGTGCGGAAGTGAAGGATACTTGATTGGGGGGTTCACGGAGCGCCTCGGGCAGAAGCAGGGCTACGGAGGGCGACAGGTAGCAGCAGCAGCTGCAGCGGGAACGATGCGAACAGGAGCAGGGGGTCCGCTCTGCTGTTAGATTCCCCGAGCCCTGCTCGAACTGAGGGCTTCTTGCTCGTTCTTCTCAAGAGTTGCCCTCCGTTTACCCGGATTTGCGGAGTCGTCCCCCAGGAAGGCTCGCCCCTAGGGCGTCCGTCCCCATGAGGTCCTGTCCGTGAGGTCCCGCCCACATCCTTCCATCCACAGAGGATGAGGAGCTCAGAGCGTAGAGTAATGTGAAAAGGGTGGACAGCAAGGAAGTTCAGGAGAGAGCAGAACATACAACCAAAAGAACAAAGAGTAGCATGTAGACAGTTGAACAGTGATGGGGAAAAGTGGAGGTCAGAGCGTAAATAGCAGGACAGCAGAGAGTGGAAGGTAGAGACTATTGGGCCAAGAGTGGAGAGCCTCTAGTCAGTAGAGGATACAGTCGCGACTCGTTGGAGAGGACACACCAGAGCGCCAGAGGACACAATACCCATTCGAGGGCCACATTGCAGCAGGAATGCAGACGTCGTGGGCGCGAAACACAGGACACAAGAGCACGCTTGATTTAGAAGGGTCGACTTACTAATCAAACGCGACTGTAGAACGCACACGGGTCTCACCCGTGGGGTCCCACCCTTGGGGATGGTGCCGTCCGCACAGAGCCATGCACGGCATCCCGTAGATGATCCCCCATTCTTGAAAATTAACGCGCAAACATTCAAATGTGCCCCACGGGTTGCCCCCAGAATCTGTGCACGTTGCATCCCATGGATTGCGCTCCATAAAGTGCAACACGAATTGCAACCTATGGATTGCACCCCGAAGGTTGCGCATCGTTTTTGCTCCATGCGCTTGCAAAATGGCGTCGTGCAGCCCGAAGCAGCCGCGCTCACTCCCAGTGGGCGATGGCGCGGGAGAGGCCGCCAGACAGTGCCAGCAGCTCGGACGCCTTGGTCCCGGTGGCCGAGTCCTTGCACTCATCGCGGACTTCCAGGCTCTTCTGGTGGGTCTCGTAGGACTTGGTCACTGCCTTGCTGTCGAGCCCCAGGAGGCCCTGCAGGCTCTTGCTCCTCTCCTCGCCGAGACCCTTCACGTGTGCCACCTTGACGGTCAGGTACTGGCGCCCGGGCTTCGGCATCGCGACGTCGATCTCGAGCTTCCTGGCCTTCTGGTCCTCCGTGCCCACGCGGAACAGGAAGCGGTGCTCGAAGGGCCCCTTGATGTCCTCGCTGTGGCCCTCGCGCCTGCCGATCACGCCCTTGACCGTGGTGACCATGCCGGAGCCCTCGTCCTTGTGGATGAACTGCTCCCACCCCGTCATGTTCTTGAAGGGCTTCCAGGGGCTGTCGTGCTTCTTCGGGTCCACCTTCAGCGCGAAGTCGGAGCTGGTGCCCTGCGCGCGCACCTGCACGGTCGTGCCGCCGAGCCAACTGCCGGTCAGGGTGATCTTCTTGATGAACAGCAGGCACGGGTCCCCGATCTCCAGCTCCTTCACAAGCGCCGACACCTCCAGCAGGCTGCCGTGGCGCTTCTTGGCGTTGGGCACAACCAGCAGCGCGTGATCTCCCGGGCGGTGGATCTGGAAGCGCTTGCCGTACAGTCCCAAGATCTTCGGGTCGCCCGAGGCCGGCCCGGTGACCGTCGAGTACTTCAGCTCGTCCTCCCGGGCCTGCTCCGGATCCGGATCCGCGCCCTCCTGGACCTGGAGCCCCAGGGCGCGCGGGAGCGCCAGGAGCAGCAGCGCGGCCGCGCAGCGGGGCATCGCAGTACGGAAGTAAAGGATACTTGATTGGGGGGTTCACGGAGCGCCTCGGGCAGAAGCAGGGCTACGGAGGGCGACAGGTAGCAGCAGCAGCTGCAGCGGGAACGATGCGAACAGGAGCAGGGGGTCCGCTCTGCTGTTAGATTCCCCGAGCCCTGCTCGAACTGAGGGCTTCTTGCTCGTTCTTCTCAAGAGTTGCCCTCCGTTTACCCGGATTTGCGGAGGAGTCCCCCAGTAAGGTCCCGCCCCTAGGGCGTCCGTCCCCATGAGGTCCTGTCCGTGAGGTCCCGCCCATATCCTTCCATCCACAGAGGATGAGGAGCTCAGAGCGTAGAGTAGTGTGACAAGGGTGGGCAGCAAGGAAGTTTAGGAGAGAGCAGAACATACGACCTGAAGAACACAGAGTAGCATGTAGACAGTTGAACAGATTAGTAATGGGGGAAAGTGGAGGTCAGAGCGCAAATAGCAGGACAGCAGAGAGTATAAGGTAGAGACTGGTGGGCCAAGAGTGGAGAGCCTCTAGTCAGTAGAGGATGCAATCGTGTCTAAATGGAAGGGACACGCCAGAGCGCCAGAGGACACAATACCCATTCAAGGGCCACATTGCAGCAGGAATGCAGACGTCGTGGGCGTGAAACGCAGGACACAAGAGCACCCTTAATTTAGAAGGGTCGACTTACTAATCAAACGCGACTGTAGAACGCACACGGGTCTCACCCGTGGGGTCCCACCCTTGGGGATGGTGCCGTCCGCACAGGGCCATGCACGGCATCCCGTAGATGATCCCCCGTTCTTGAAAATTAACGCGCAGACATTCAAATGTACCCCACGGGTTGCCCCCAGAATCTGTGCACCGTACGTTGCATCCCATGGATTGCGCTCCATAAAGAGCAACACGAATTGCAACCTATGGATTGCACCCCGAAGGTTGCGCATCGTTTTTGCTCCATGCGCTTGCAAAATGGCGTCGTGCAGCCCGAAGCAGCCGCGCTCACTCCCAGTGGGCGATGGCGCGGGAGAGGCCGCCAGACAGTGCCAGCAGCTCGGACGCCTTGGTCCCGGTGGCCGAGTCCTTGCACTCATCGCGGACTTCCAGGCTCTTCTGGTGGGTCTCGTAGGACTTGGTCACTGCCTTGCTGTCGAGCCCCAGGAGGCCCTGCAGGCTCTTGCTCCTCTCCTCGCCGAGACCCTTCACGTGTGCCACCTTGACGGTCAGGTACTGGCGCCCGGGCTTCGGCATCGCGACGTCGATCTCGAGCTTCCTGGCCTTCTGGTCCTCCGTGCCCACGCGGAACAGGAAGCGGTGCTCGAAGGGCCCCTTGATGTCCTCGCTGTGGCCCTCGCGCCTGCCGATCACGCCCTTGACCGTGGTGACCATGCCGGAGCCCTCGTCCTTGTGGATGAACTGCTCCCACCCGGTCATGTTCTTGAAGGGCTTCCAGGGGCTGTCGTGCTTCTTCGGGTCCACCTTCAGCGCGAAGTCGGAGCTGGTGCCCTGCGCGCGCACCTGCACGGTCGTGCCGCCGAGCCAGCTGCCGGTCAGGGTGATCTTCTTGATGAACAGCAGGCACGGGTCCCCGATCTCCAGCTCCTTCACAAGCGCCGACACCTCCAGCAGGCTGCCGTGGCGCTTCTTGGCGTTGGGCACAACCAGCAGCGCGTGATCTCCCGGGCGGTGGATCTGGAAGCGCTTGCCGTACAGTCCCAAGATCTTCGGGTCGCCCGAGGCCGGCCCGGTGACCGTCGAGTACTTCAGCTCGTCCTCCCGGGCCTGCTCCGGATCCGGATCCGCGCCCTCCTGGACCTGGAGCCCCAGGGCGCGCGGGAGCGCCAGGAGCAGGAGCGCGGCCGCGCAGCGGGGCATCGCAGTACGGAAGTAAAGGATACTTGATTGGGGGGTTCACGGAGCGCCTCGGGCAGAAGCAGGGCTACGGAGGGCGACAGGTAGCAGCAGCAGCTGCAGCGGGAACGATGCGAACATCAGCATGGGGTCCGCTCTGCTGTTAGATTCCCTGAGCCCTGCTCGAACTGAGGGCTTCTTGCTCGTTCTTCTCAAGAGTTGCCCTCCGTTTACCCGGATTTGCGGAGGAGTCCCCCAGTAAGGTCCCGCCCCTAGGGCGTCCGTCCCCATGAGGTCCTGTCCGTGAGGTCCCGCCCATATCCTTCCATCCACAGAGGATGAGGAGCTCAGAGCGTAGAGTAGTGTGACAAGGGTGGGCAGCAAGGAAGTTTAGGAGAGAGCAGAACATACGACCTGAAGAACACAGAGTAGCATGTAGACAGTTGAACAGATTAGTAATGGGGGAAAGTGGAGGTCAGAGCGTAAATAGCAGGACAGCAGAGAGTATAAGGTAGAGACTGGTGGGCCAAGAGTGGAGAGCCTCTAGTCAGTAGAGGATGCAATCGTGTCTAAGTGGAAGGGACGCGCCAGAGCGCCAGAGGACACAATACCCATTCGAGGGCCACATTGCAGCAGGAATGCAGACGTCGTGGGCGTGAAACGCAGGACACAAGAGCACCCTTGATTTGGAAGGGTCGACTTACTAATCAAACGCGACTGTAGAGCGCACACGGGTCTCACCCGTGGGGGTCCCACCCTTGGGGATGGTGCCGTCCGCACAGGGCCATGCACGGCATCCCGTAGATGATCCCCCATTCTTGCAAGTTACCGCGCAGGCATTCAAATGTACCCCACGGGTTGCCCCCAGAATCTGTGCACCGTACGTTGCATCCCATGGATTGCGCTCCATAAAGTGCAACACGAATTGCAACCTATGGATTGCACCCCGAAGGTTGCGCATCGTTTTTGCTCCATGCGCTTGCAAAATGGCGTCGTGCAGCCCGAAGCAGCCGCGCTCACTCCCAGTGGGCGATGGCGCGGGAGAGGCCGCCAGACAGTGCCAGCAGCTCGGACGCCTTGGTCCCGGTGGCCGAGTCCTTGCACTCATCGCGGACTTCCAGGCTCTTCTGGTGGGTCTCGTAGGACTTGGTCACTGCCTTGCTGTCGAGCCCCAGGAGGCCCTGCAGGCTCTTGCTCCTCTCCTCGCCGAGACCCTTCACGTGTGCCACCTTGACGGTCAGGTACTGGCGCCCGGGCTTCGGCATCGCGACGTCGATCTCGAGCTTCCTGGCCTTCTGGTCCTCCGTGCCCACGCGGAACAGGAAGCGGTGCTCGAAGGGCCCCTTGATGTCCTCGCTGTGGCCCTCGCGCCTGCCGATCACGCCCTTGACCGTGGTGACCATGCCGGAGCCCTCGTCCTTGTGGATGAACTGCTCCCACCCGGTCATGTTCTTGAAGGGCTTCCAGGGGCTGTCGTGCTTCTTCGGGTCCACCTTCAGCGCGAAGTCGGAGCTGGTGCCCTGCGCGCGCACCTGCACGGTCGTGCCGCCGAGCCAGCTGCCGGTCAGGGTGATCTTCTTGATGAACAGCAGGCACGGGTCCCCGATCTCCAGCTCCTTCACAAGCGCCGACACCTCCAGCAGGCTGCCGTGGCGCTTCTTGGCGTTGGGCACAACCAGCAGCGCGTGATCTCCCGGGCGGTGGATCTGGAAGCGCTTGCCGTACAGTCCCAAAATCTTCGGGTCGCCCGAGGCCGGCCCGGTGACCGTCGAGTACTTCAGCTCGTCCTCCCGGGCCTGCTCCGGATCCGGTTCCGCGCCCTCCTGGACCTGGAGCCCCAGGGCGCGGGGGAGCGCCAGGAGCAGGAGCGCGGCCGCGCAGCGGGGCATCGCAGTACGGAAGTAAAGGATACTTGATTGGGGGGTTCACGGAGCGCCTCGGGCAGAAGCAGGGCTACGGAGGGCGACAGGTAGCAGCAGCAGCAGCTGCAGCGGGAACAGGACGACCAGGAGCAGGGGGCCCCCTTCGCCATGCAAATTCCCCCAGCTTTGCTCGCATCAAGGGTTGCCCATTGAATGGAAGTCGGTCTACTCAAAACATGCTCTTTGTTTGCAAACGCTGTGCTCGCACACTCCCGCCGGCACCCTAACACACTCACCCACATCCTACTAGCACCCCCATCAAAGGCAGAGTAGCATCATGAGAGCACCTGGCCAGACTTCTACATGCAGCCACGCGCGGGATACACGCGGGGAAGCTGGGCGTATATCCCGCCGTGGGAGGGCCGAGGCGCTGGAAAGACATGCGGCGCCACAGCGTACATCCAACTCTCGCCTGGGCCAGACGCGCAACGTGCCCCCAGCTTCCCCGCACCCTGCCAGCTGCTCGCGGCGGCGTCGGGGAGGCGCCGACTCGGCGAAGGGTGGCATCCCCAATCCTCCAGCCGCTCCCATCCTTCTCGAGGCGCGGACCCTAGAGCTCTGGACCATACCTCCCCAGGACCGGCCCTTCCTCCCATGGGCCGTTCTTGTTGCCGCTCCCCAGGCGCGGCGGGGGCCCCCCCGTGGAGGCCGAAGACGGCCCCCCCAACACACCGCCTGCGCACCTTACTCTGTTGGCGGGGGGGGGGAGGGGCGACGGAGCTCCGGGGTCACCCGCGGCGACGGCGGCGGGCTGTAGCCGCGGCGGCGGCAAGGCTCGGGCAGGGACCAACCGTCCGGGCATTCCTATAGTCCTGCCACGAAGTGTTCCTAGAACCCCCAAAAGATGTTCTCACGAGAACACCAGCAGTGTCCTCAGAACACAAGCCCGATGTGTTCGAGCAAGACGGTCTGAGCCAGCAATGTCCTGACAACATCTCGTAGGAACCACAGACAATGTTCTTAGAACGCAGTCTTCGGCGGGCCTATATGCGAGCCAGGGCGCTTCGCCACTGCTCGAGGCAAGGCGGGGGCGGCGACGGCGGCGGCCGCCCCGCCTGCGGGCCGGCGCGCGTCGGCGACGCAGGGGCGGACGCAGCGAGGCGGCTGCCAACGGGGCGGCTCTCCTCGCCGGCCCGCGGCGGAGGCGCGGCCCGTGCGGCACAGAGGGCGGTTTCGCTGGCAGGGGCGCGAGGCGAAGCGACACACCACGAGCGCGGGGCGCCGGGGTCCGTCACGGTGGGGTGGCCCTTTCCCGGATGGGACGCACAAGGACGTCCTCGTAGGCGGAGTCGACGAGGGTGACAGCGCAATTCGGAACGAGGGGGAGGAACAGGAGGAGGAGGAGGAGGAGGAGGAGGAGGAGGAGCGAGGAGCGAGGAAGGGCGCCGGTGCCGGCCGCGAGCAGCACGAGGTCGGAGGCCCAGGGCTGGAGCGGAGCTCGGGCGGGAGACGTCTCCCAGACCCAAGCCTGCACGGGGGGGCAAAGCTCCAGTGGTCGCCACGAGGGTCAGTTTGCTCCCATCGTTCTTAGGGACCACATCCCAGACATAAGTTCAAAGTATCGAATCAGTGTCGAACGAGTATCGCCTCCGAGGGCCCCACACGCGAAAGCCCTCAGATTTCGGTGCTTTCCTGGTGCTCGAAATTCTGTCAGGTGGTCAAGGCTAAAGTAGGTTGAAACATTATAACAAGAGGGCCAATGGGACGCACAGATAAATACTAGTATTCGATGTCCTCCTTTCCTTGCTTTCGGTCAAAGAACGGCTCGGGATGAACAACAACTGGTCCAAAGGAATGGACCGAGGCCTCTGAGGGTCGACGTTACATACGTATGTATGTATGTATGTATGTATATCTATATGTACCTATGTATGAACGAGTGCGTTTCGCGGGCGCTTGCCTGGGAAACATTCGGCGGCGAGTTTCGAACCGGAGGGGGAGCCCCCCCCCACACTCGGCGCCGTCGATCAAAACCAGGGGGACCCCCCTCCACCCCAGACCCGCCACCCTCCACCCCACCCCCTCCCAAGGGGGGTTTCAAACCCCCCCCCCGCCCCCCACCCTCGGTGCCGGCGCCGGCGCCGGCGGCCGCCAACAGCGCCCACGGCGGGGACGCAGCGACGATGACCAGAGGCAGCCCAAGGGAAGGGTGGGGGTTCAAACCCCCCCCTTGGCGCCGGCGCCGGCGCTGGCGGCGGCCAGCAGCGCCGGCGCTGGCGCCGGCGACGGCGAGGACGCAGCGACACTTACCACCATTACCACCACACCCACCACCACCACCACCACCACCACCACCACCACCACTACCAACACCACCACCGCCTCAACCCACCACCACCACCAACAGCACCACACAACCACCACCACCACAGCCACCACCACCACAGCCACCACCACCACCACAATTCACCATCACCACCACCACCACAAAAACCCACCACCACTACCACCACCACAATATACCACACGACCACCACCACCGCCACAAACACCACCACTACCAGCAGTACAACCCACCACCACCACCACCACAAGCCACCACACCACCATCACCACCAGCAGCACAAACCACCATCGTCCTCGTCGACGCTCCACGCCACCGCGGCCCTCCGCCGCAGGCGCGGGCGCTGGCCCAGAAATGGAAATCGTCGTCCCCGCCGCCGTCGCCAGCCGCCGCCGACACAAGCGCCTGCCCAAGGAGAGGGGACGCAGAGGAGGAAGGGGGGGGTGACCACAGAACGCGCTCTTTTACATATATATATATATGTGTGGGTGTGTGCTTGTACATAAGTATATATATTTGCACACTTGTAAATGTATACGCACATATACATTTATGTATATATAGATATATGTATGTATATAATGCCGTCGGGGGTCTGAACCGCTCGAGGCACCCCCCGCGGGGCACCCTCGCTGGTGGTGGCGTCGCCCCTGCTTTCTTCCGAATAGCAGGGCCCGAGGTGCCGCGCCCTCCAAGGGCACGCGCCTGAGAGCTGCCGGGGCGGCGCGCGAAGGCTCGAGCCTCGGGGGCGTGAGGCCGCACGGGGCCGTCAGCATCAAGTCGGGCGTGGCCCTCTACAGGAGGAACGTTCAAAAAAACAATCGCAAGAAAGTCTGGTAACGATGTTTGTTGACTGGTTCTTGTGCATGTCTGCACGATTTCTGTGCTCTCTCTTTTCGCCAAGCGTGCGCTTGTGTGGGGGACACGCCCGACCTGACGTCAGCCAAGCGGATGACGGGACCGGTGCCCGAAGCTCGGCGCGAGCTTGTGCTGCAAACGCCTGGCGAGCGGCGCGGCCATCAAAAGTCGCGTTGGGGGCCGGCCGGAGAGCGGATCGGAACGCGGGCGCGCAGGGAGGAAAGGCCATGCAGAGCAGGAGGCACCTCGGGCGCGCGGCGCTTGGGGGCAGACTCAAGCACGCAGACCACCAACGTGGGCCCGCACGAGTCACTCCGGCGCAAGGCCACGCTTCACGGCGGAGACCCATGCCAAAAAATACCACGTTTGCCTCCAGGGTGCCATGGTTTTGAAAGGGAAATCGTGACGTTCCCACACCAAGAATCAATGGACGTCCTGGGGGTTCAGGGTTGGATTTCTTGTGGAAGTCCTCCTGTGGTCGGACCCCTTACTGTACGAACGACCGAGCAACCCCGAACTGTGGCAGTCTCGAGAGTCGTTGGGCTGGACATGCGCTGGGCACCCTTCCCCGCCTCCTGATCCATGCCCCCGCCCGGCCCCCGCCCAGCCCTTCCCGCCGTCGAGGCCACGCGCCCCATTCCCTGGACCCGGGCGAAATCTTCTATCAGAGATCCGACGACCTGAAAGAGGCGCGCACCCTCATTTACGTTCGTTCTTTGGGGGGAAACATTTCTTATTCGGCGTCTCGACATCGGACGGAAAGGGGGTGCAGGGGCGGGGGTCTCTGGCTCTGGACCTTTGTTTCATGCGATCGTTTGCAGAAAAGGCGTCCCATGGGGGAGGTTCCACCTGCTCAAAGCAAGCGCCAACAAACGCCAAAATCTACTCCATGGGGGGGAAGGGGGGGCGAAGGCCCGCGCAAACTGGCAACAACAATAAATAACAAAGCGCTGACTTTGTGGAAGCCGATCATTGTCAGAACGTTAGCGGCCTCGCGACCAACAGCGGCAACCGGTGAGCGACAAACAACGGCACACGTTCCGCGCCGACCGTCCATCCATCACCCGCCATTCGCGTTCAGGCCGTCGAACGCAGAAGAACCTTCTGGTGAAACTCGACGTTCCCATTACAACATTTCGAATGCATGGCCATGCGCAAGGAGGCAAATGTATCGGAACATAAAAATAGCATCATCATCGGTAGGGGATGGAGCAAGTCGAGAAGACGCTGCATACTGCATGATGTTCGGGGTATCCGGATTCACCTGGTGACATACCATGCGTTGGCGCCGAAATCCCAGAGACAACACCGCACGGCCCGTCGACCGGCGCCGCATGGTCTGGGGACGGATGTCCCAGGCGCACGAGAAATCCTCTCAAAACGAGATAAACCCCAACCCCGTCTGCTGATCCCGAGCACGCCGTCCAACCAACACGCTGAGACGAGGACAGGTCCGGGTTCGGAAGAGGCTGGGTGTTCCGTAGGTCGTTCCACTTGCCATCGCTCGGACGTCCTTCCTATTGCATGTTTCGATGTCTTGCGTGTATTTGCTTTGCAATGTGACCCGAAATGCTCCTCGATGGTCCGCGCCGTGGAAAAATGCACATTTCCGAGCGATGCCCAACCACGGTTGTTCCTCCAGCGCCCCTCGAACCACCCAAGGGGCCTCGGTCCTCACCGAGCGTTTTTCGAGGTCTCTCCAGTGGGGTCCGAGTAGCAATTCGGCTGCAAGACCCAAGCGGCGGCGTTGCGGCGGCGAGTGGCGCCTCGTTTCCTTGCCCCGTTCCCCCTTCCCCCCCCTCCTGGTTATGGTTGTAGTTCTGGGAACCCCGAGTGGGGAGTTCGGCCTGCTCTGGGCAAGGCAGGTCGGGGTATGTGCCACCCCGAACGGCAGCGATTGCTGTGCCCAGACTCGCGCCGAATGGCCGGGCTGCGCATGCGTCGGGCGGCGGTCGGCGGCTGGGCAAGTGCCCTCTGCTCGACCCGGTCCCCCTTGAGCACGCCCTCCTCTTCCTCCCCCTCCCCGTCCTCCGTCCTCAGAACTCACGTGCGGGGAGTCACCTGCGAGGTGGCGCGTCTGGCCGCGGCGGGGCGTGCCGTGCCGCTTGGACTCGAGTTCGCGGGACAGCTGGAATGCAAAACCCAGACGTTGAGCAGTGACCGACCTTCCAGCTTTTCTATAGGCCTACCACGGCATGTTTTTAGAGCCCCACGAAGTTCTAAGAACAAAGAAAAGGTTCGTAGAACATGAGCCCGATGTGCTAACACAAGAGAGACTCAGCCATAAGTGTAATAAGCACACAAGGTTTTTGGAACATGTTTTGGTGGGCCTATAGGGAAGCCAAGACGCATCGTCACTTCTCGACGACGGCAGCGTGGTCGCCTCACCTTTTTTTCTGGGTCTCCGCACGCGGGCTGCCGGGAGGCTCACGTGCCTCCGGCTCTGGGGGGGGTCTACGGGCCCGCGGCCCACCAGGACTTCGCACGTGGCGGCGGGCCCTGGCGCACACGCCCAGCTGCCCGCCACGCCAGCGCGCGGGCGATGTGATGCCGCACGCGTCGGGCGGGTGGTACGGGGGGGGGGGTGACCCACAGGGGGTGGGGGAAGGAAAAGGCCCCAAAGGGGTCCTTAGAGGCCCCTTTGGGGCGCCTGCTGGCTCCAGAAGGGGCCCTAAAAGGCTCTTTTGAGGGCCTGATCTCCGCCCCCCATTTTACGTCACCCCCGTTACCACCCGCCCGGCACGCAATGCGTCAGCGAAGGGACGTCAGGCTCACGATTGAAAC